AATTTTTAACTTCCATTCCCAGAATTGGAAGAACCAAATAATTGAACTGATATTACCCTAATTATCTTGATGGTTAAGTCTGTCCAAAGACGTTATTATCAGGGTTTGTTGATTTAAATCAGCTTTATTTTAATCACGATTTAAATCATGATTTAAATCAAATGCTTTTTTTAAAAAAAAATCATTGATTTAAATCAACTATATTAGAAATATAGTATTTCTTGGTATGCGTTAAATTCCAATACATTTGAAATTACATTTTTAAAAATCTTTTTACTCTAGAGATTGTAGTAGAGAAGTACAGATTAAAGTAAACATTCAAGTATTTTTTTCCCCTCCTGTTTACAGTATCTTTGACATCATCAGATTTTCTATAAAGAAATTTAGTGAAAAAACAAATTTCACTGAGTACATAGATTTGTTTTTAGTTTAACTTATCTATTTTGATATAGGATTAAAAATGAATATTTTAATATAAAATTATATAGCTTTAATATTTATTTATTTTTTGATAAATGACTACATTTATTAACATAATATGTTACATTTATTTTGTCCTTTTAAAAATCAAGGGGGGGGGGAAATATCACAATTTTAAATTAAAATTATGGTTTGGTAATTGAAACTTAGTTTTAATAGTTAAAGTATTCTTTAAATTCTCTATTTCATCTAGTCTTTAAATTTCAATCATGCATTTGTTTCAAAAGGGCTGCTATGCATTCAAAGCTATGTATTATAATGAATAATTGTTTTAGGTAGTTAGAGCTTCTAAAATATCCTTATAATATAGTTTTAATATTAATTTAATTTTGATTGAACATTTATAAAGTTTTTTAATCATAAATCAAAGTTCTTACACTGTATTTGAATTTTTAAAAAAAATCCGATTTAAATCAAAAAATATTTTTTTTTTTTACTTTTTAAAAATAAATCAAAAAATATCACGAACCCTGGTTATTATTCATGGTATTAATTAACTGTACTACTACCATAAGCTCAGCTCCAAGATTGAACAGGATTAAAACGAATAATTAAAAAAAAAAATTTACATAAATTGACGGCAAAACTTGAAACAATATTTAAGACCAGGGCTCTTGCTGTCCTAAAATGTCCTAAAAAAGTGCTAAAATTTTCCTAACTTTTTTAGGGCCTAAAAAGTGCTAAAATTTCTTCTGAGTGCTAAAAAAGTTCTAAATATATTTTATTTTGGCATTTTGAAATTTTTTTTGAGCGGTCGGATTCCTTAAATCGGTTTCCCTAAATCCTTAAATTCTGTTGCCTTCGGCTCTTCTGCTGCCTCCATCTTTTTAGAAGATTCTTGGGCTTTGGGGAAAGAAGTTCTTTCTTCTGAGATTTTATGGGCTTTAAAAGTTGTAGAAAGCTACTACTCCTACAATTCTTCCAAAGACACTGGAAAATTATTTAGTACAATGTTTCCAGACAGTTCAATATCACGTCATTTCACCTGCAGTGAATCTAAGTGTGCATATCTCTGTCATTTTGGACTTGCTCTTCATTTTAGCATGCTACTTCTGAAGTGCATTGATAATGCCAAGTTTTATACATTGCTTTTTTATGAGTCTTTGAACAAAGCGACACAGCAGAAGCAGTTGGATATACATATCCACTTTTGGAACCCAGATAAGAACATTGTAGAGACGCGATACTTAACATCAGCTTTTCTGGGCCATTCTGTAGCAGATGACCTTTTAGCCTGCTTTTATGCATCAGTCAAAAATGTAGACCTTAAGAAATTATTGCAGATTTCTATGGACGGTCCTGCTGTCAATTGGAAGTTTTATAATAATATTCAAGAAGATTTGTTAAAAGAACATGGTGTTCAATGCAATGCAATAGGAAGTTGTGGGCTTCATATTTTAAATAACGCATTCTACAAAGGTGAATCTGAAACAGAATGGCTCATTGGTTCCATCCTGAGCTCAATCTTCTATCTTTTTAAAGATTCACCCACAAGAAAAGAAGATTTTATTAATCAATCAACTGAGAACAAATTACCACTAAAATTTTGTAACCACCGTTGGCTGGAAAATGCACCTGCAGCTGAAAGAGCAATATTGCTTTGGAATGATCTGAAATCTTATGTGAAAAATGTTGGCAAGTTTAGAAAAGTGAAATGTAAATCCTTTTTAACTTTACAAGAAGCAATAAAAGACAAATTAATTCTTGTTAAGCTGAACTTTTTCTTAAATGTGTCGGAGCTAGTTTCACCATTTTTGAAACTGTATCAAGCAGATCGGCCACTTTTACCATTTTTTGCTGCAGATATCCAGGATTTGGTATTACATAGTGTGCAATTATATAACATTCTGAAGCCAGAATCTATAGAAAACTTAAATTCTCTGGAGAAACTGTGCCATTTTAATTTTTGTGATGAAAAGAATTATGTCTCTCTGACAAAAATCAGTGTAGGTTTTAAAGGTGACCAAATTTTAAAGCAGCTGTTGGCCTCAAAAGTTATTTCTGATCGGGATCATATGAATATAAAGAAAGATTGCAGAAAGTTTATGACCAAAATGTTAGAAACTTTACTGGAGAAATGTCCAATAAACTATTCTGTTGTAAAAAATGTTGCTTGCATCAATCCAAGAAAACAAAAGCAAGTGTGTTCTAAAAATGAGAAACATATTAAATTACTTAAGTCAAAAAAAGAAAATTGAGGAAAAAGATTGACAAAATTAAGCCTCAATTTGCATCATGTATAGATTAATTATGTAATTTTTACTTCATGAATCGTTAAACACTTTATTTGTACATTTTTAATATCATGTATAGATTAAGTATGTTATTTTTACTTTACATCAAGTGCTAGTTTTTTTTTTTGTCCTAAAAAAGTGCTAAAAAAGTCCTAATTTTTTTTTGAAATAATTGAGCAAGAACCCTGAAGACTCTCTTGATAATTTTTTTTTCTTTTCATTTTTTCTCTATCATTGTCTTAAAATAAGTTTCTTTCTTACTCAAATTAAAGAACAATTTTTTTAATCCTCAGTGGTAGTCGGATCATGAGTTAGAGTCCCTTAATCGTGGAATGTTTACGTGGTTTTCCTCTCCGTGTAACGCTAATGCGAGTTAGTTCAAACAAAAAGCCCTCGAAGAAAGCAAATTTCTCCTAATACTTGATCCAGTAGTTCCCTTGTCTTTCTGGATTGGTTCAAAATTACAAGGTTACGGAGTTGAACTAGTCGTAAACCCTAAATTGAGTCTGCTGTTCAACGACGGTTATAAAATAAAATATAAAATTATTAGAATTCATTCAAAAATGAAAAAACTCATACTGTTTTTTTAAAAAAAATTTCCATTTTTATCAATAATTGCTTTATTGAAAAAAAAAGAAAAACATATAAATATTGGGAAAAAATATATATATTAACAAACAAAAAACTGTAATGTTCGTAAAATGAAAGTGTAATATTTATATTAATGAGTAACATAAATTTGAATTAAATATTTTAACCGAAGGAAATTTTTAAGGCTTAAACCAAAATCAAAAATTTAAACAAAACCATTTTAATACAAAATAAGATTCAATATTCATTAGGTATTATACTTCAGATATTTCTATTTCTTGAATTATTAGAGGTTTTATGAATTTTAAATCGGTAACTTTTTCTTTTTTGGTTCATTTAAAAAAAAAATCATATTAGCTATAAAAAATTAACAAAATTACAAACAATAAGTAGTTTAAAATTTCGCGTTTTCCTTCACTTTTCTAAATTTTGATGTTTCTATAGCATTGTATGAAATATCGTGGAATTTAAGTACCTACCACGTGTAAGTGCATGGCGCTCACTGCACAAAAAACGAAGGAAAAATAACTTATACTTACAATGAATTCACTGATAAATTGTATCAAAAACTGATTATTTAAATGGGCGATTTGAAAGTCACGTGCTGTAAAGAACATCGTAGTTAAAATCAAGTGAATACCACGAATAAAACTCGTCAATAACGTAATTATTTAAGTGCGTGATTTGAAATTTGCATGTCGCTATAAAAATCAGATTTTTTAAAGCCACTCGGGAATACATCGCAAGGTCTGCCGAAAAAATTATTGGAAATTAATTTGGACTGACGATGAAATTGGCGAAAACGAAGCTCGTCAGAAAGTAGTTATTTAAATGTACGATTTGAAACTCCCGTGTCGTAAATAATATCATAGTATGATAAAATCATAGTAAAATATGGGATTTTTAAAAGCGTGGCAATGACTGCTTTTAGAAAAAGAAATCAAAAAGTTATTTAGGTTTACGATGAAATCGGTATAAATAAAGCATTTGAAAAAGTGATCAATTAAATGCGCGATTTGTAATCGTAATAAATGTATCGGGATTTTACAAACCACTAGGAAATTGGTTGTTATAAATGCCCCCCCCCCCAAAAAAAAAAGTGATCGAATTGTCGCTGGGATTTATAATAAAATTGGCAAACATAAAAGGAGTCAAAATGTGATTACTCAAATTCGAAATTCGTGTAACGTAATATAGTATTAAAAATATTTGGTATTTTAAAACCATACGAAATTTTGTACCAATAACCATTGAAAAAAAGATCGTGAAACAACGTAGATTTACAATAGAGTATGCGAATTGAACACATCACAAAGTTATGACGCAAATGTGAGCTTCAAAATTTTCTATATTATTTTATTTTCAAAAAGTAAATAAATAAATAAAAATTCTTTTCATTGTGTTCAGAAGCTCCCGCGGACCGCAGATTGTGCACCCCTAACTTATCTCATTCTTTGCAATTAATTACTATATATCATTATTGTAAGTTCAGTTTTTGGCAGTTAGATTTTTGTGTTAATTTTAATTAAATACGTATTTAAGCTGCGTTAATAATTTTTTTTATTTTTTATTGATTCTTAAATTATTCTAGAGATTTGCATAACTAAAAAAAAATTTTTTTTACATTTTTGATACAGGAATATTGAGAGCGTTGAATTTTTTTAGCCTAATTAAAATATGTTCTTTCTTTTGCAGGCCAAATCGGTGAAAAGAGCTGCCGAAGAACAACTCCCCCAGCTTCAAGCATCTAGCAATGAAGAATCTGAAAAGTCTTCCAAAATGGCTAGAACTGATTCTTTGCCTGATAAGAAGCCTGATTTAGTTCTCTCTCAGCAAACTTCTTGCCTTAATGCATCTCTGCAGTCTCAGCAGCAGCAATCATCCCAACAAACATCAACACTCTCTAGTTTCTCGGTGCAAATAGTTCCCAATTTCACCAATCAGCAGACTGTTCAAAAACCCCTAAATTCTCCACTTACTGCTCAAGTTTCACTGCCACAAAACAACCAAACCGACAAAAAACCTGTGTGCATAAGCAAAGACGAGAACTCCCAATCCGGTAGAAATTCCTGCAGCAATCCTATCGTTGAGTGCAAGCAGGAAAAGGACAACGATCCGTCGGACATGTGCCAATTCAAGACAGTCACCCCCAACGGCAATTCCTGCGATTCTTTGTCGGACACATTTCCTAGCATTGGTGTGAATGACGATTCGGGTGAAGATATGCTTCCACCAGAAGTCCTGCACGATTTAATCAAAGACATGACAGAAAATCCTGATTATTCAGATTTGATGACTGACTTTTTTGATGATGGTGGCTTGAAGGATCAAGAGATGGTTGGTAAAGAAATTACGGACTTAGTGAAAGATTCTCCAAATACTTTCCAATCAGATGAAGTTCCATTAGTACCTATTCAAACCAGTGAGCAACAATTACAATTTTTCACTTTTTAATTTCTACCTGTACTAATGTTTAGTTTCAAAAACTGTGTTTAGATTACGTAGAATGATGTACCTTTGTTTGGGCAAACTTTAAAATCAGAAATTTTTCAATATTACAAAAAAAAAAAAAACTGAGCTCCGTTTGAATATGATTTTTTATTTTTTTAAAATTTTTAAGAAAACTTTCTTCTTGACATAATCATTTACCACCTACCAATGAAATGTTTTCCTTAGGGAAAAAACCAGGGTTGCAAAAAACCCGGGTTTTTCCAGCAAAACACTACCCGGGTTTTATTGGGCTTTTCTGGGTTTTTCATGTTTAATTGGTTTTTTTTCAAAAGCGAGGGCAGGGATGTAAGTACCTTATTTTAAAAAAGCTTATTTTAATATTAATAATTAAGTTTAATTTTATGAATTGGTTTAACATGTAGGTAATTAAAGTGTAATTAATACAAATAAATTGGTGCAAAAATCTGAAAAAAGTTTCTTCTGACATCAAATTTCCTCTTTGGGACGATTATTTGGTACAGTTTTCACCAAGAAATGTTAAAGCTCACTTGAAATGGAGATATTTTTTTTTAGAAATTCTGTATATACTTTTTTTTTTAGAATTTCTTTGGATACCAAAAAATTATCTTTTTTTGTATTGTAAATTTGTAATATTACTAGGTGCTGTATCCCTTCATTTATAACATGTGACGGAGCTTAAGCCCCCCCCCCCCCGTTCCATGGTCCCTGGGAATTAGCATTGAGGGATTGCAGAATTATAACTAAGGAGTGTTAGTTATATAATTGTTTGTAATTGAGCATTTCCTTTTTATTATATTTAGGTCTATTTAGAAATTTTCCTGGAAGCAATGAAACTCCCATCTCCACCCTGTCTGCTCCTTCTATTCCAACATCCTCTCTCTACAATCAACCGGCTCAAAGGCTACCTCCTTCGTACATGAACACTAATATACGTTTTAATTACAAAATGACCTCTGAGCCAACCGGAAGTTTAGCTGCTCGCACTCTCAAGCAACTGGCAGAGCAACATCAAAGCCTACAAGTATGTATTGATTTTTTTTAAATAGTAGAGACCGTCATGCATTCGTATATAGAAATATGTGAAGTATATCACAAGCATGAAGTATGTAACTGACTAATGATGAACAATCATATGTATTGATTTTTTTATGTATGTATTGATTTTTTAAATAGCAGAAATCGTCAGGCATGAAGTATATAACTGACTAATGATCGTTCATCATTAGTCAATTACATACTTCATTATACTTGATTCAAACAAATAATGTAAAAATATTAATTAAATTTTAATTTAAGTAAAGTAGAAGTTTTTGGAGCTTATTTTCTTTTTTCAATTTAACAGAAAGAAAATTTCCTTTTTTTTCAAAGAAGGTTTTTGTTTTTCAGATTCCTGGAGGAAAAAAAAGAATTATTTTTTATTTTCTTGCCAATGTAAATGCAATTTAAAATTACTTTCATTTGATTTAAAATTGCACATCTCAATTCATATTTGCACGGTTTAAAGATTAGACATCGAAATTTGTACTCAAACAATCTTAAAGAAAATTTTACATCTATATTTTAAGAAGGGTGGAAAGAGGCATTTTTTTAAGTTGAAACTTTAATTCTTTTTTTTAAGCTTAGAAAAAGTGGTCTTTAATTTGAAAATAATGTTTAGAGGCATGAATGACAGACCACATCTGGTTATGGGAGTGTCCACTTTGTGGAGAAGGCACATAACGGTGTTTTCATAGAAGATTCACTGTAATTTAAAAATTTTCTACAATGAAAAGCATCTGTTTTGTATAAGTGTACATAACAAGAGGTTTCATATTTTTTTTTATTTATTTCTTTATTTTTATTTTTTTTACAGCAGCAGCAACAAGTATTTAATCCATCCTTAGTCAACAGACCATCCTTTAGTAAAGATAATCCTTTCGCCAACCAATCCCAGAACTCATCAAACTTTTTGAATGGAACAAATACTGTTAACCAAAGCAGTGAAGGAGCTAACAATTCCACTTCAAGCGCCTACACGTTGGATCGTCTCTCGGAGGAATTCTTTGGAACTTTACCTTCCAACTGTGAGCAGTCTAGCCCCAATAATAGGTTTGATATGAGTAAGCAAAGAATGCCAGAGAACCAACAACAGCAACAACAAGTGGAGGAGCCGCCTCCTTATGGTACCACAAGACTGCTCAGCCATTATTCTGAGAACGCTCAAGTTAGACCTCTCAATTCCATAAATAGTAATCAGTATGTGCCACACAGTCCTATAGGAGGAGGAAACAGGCAAATCCAAAATAATTCAGATCTAAGATTTCAGTTTCCACAGCAGCCTCAACAAATTCACATGGTTAGTTTAATTTTTATCTATAACTTCTTTTTTCCAGCTATGATTACATTTTGTTCCTCTGTCGGAAATCTTTTTCTTTAAAGAGGGTGCATAGCGTTTTTAAAAGCCCTTAAAGGTACTTTTTTCATTGGGTATTTTTAAAAAGTGCTTAATTTTTCCTTTACTCTGTTGATTATGTAAAAAGACACTGTTCCTATTGTTCCATTCGACGTTTTCACAATTAATTCAACCCCAATCTAAAAGTGCTTAAAAATATTTTTGAGCGCTTGAAAAGTGCTTAAAAGGTGCTTATTTTTTGTTGAAAAATTTAGCTGTGCACACTGTTAAATCATTAAAGAATTAATTTGTGTTTTGTTTTACATCATCCCAACTATGGATGGTTGATCGTGAAACCAGGCATGCGAAAAGAGCAACTGTCTGAAACATCCAGCCAAATAAGAACATCCAATCAAAGACTAACGACGATAATATTTTAAATCTGTAACAATTGCTTTTATTACCAAATTACACTTGGTTCAAAGAAAATATTTCATAAAGAATAAAATAAGGTTTGCTAAAAAAAAAAGTTATAATTAATAAAATTTGAATTTTCTCTTCATTTAAAAAAAAATTACCTTAAAATAATTCCTCCATACATTTACATAGAAATGAATTTAAAATACAAATTAACATTTTTATTAATATAAATTTTTTCAGTGTTATTTATAGATATTCCACTTTATAGATGAGGAATTTGCCCTAAGTATCTACACAATTTTGTACGCAAGCCACTGAGTGTTTTCAAATTTTCTCATTTCAAAAACATTTTAAGTGACAACTTCAAAACATTTATTTTACCTCGGTTCACGTTAAATTTATATACTTGTAATTATAAACCCTGTGGCATAATTTTTTCAAGTTATCGACGACAAAAGCACGTATATCTAGCACTAATATCTTTCTGCAAGATACTTTTAATAATAACAAACATTTCTGGTTACTAATTTAAAATAACAGAAGTGCTGTGTTTACAAAAAAAATTACATTAAAATTTTTTAATGAAGCATTTGATTATTTTTAATTTTAATATTATGGGCGAATTATGTTTTGCATTTTGTTAGGGGTTGAAACGCACTCATTTTTCCTTCGCATTTTGGAAGTAATCATCACAATAATAATATTTAAAAAAAAGAAGAATTCAAAATTATTAACTCCATATGAAAAAAACATGTTTCTGAAAGAAAACTTTTACAACATTCAGCTAATCTTTTTGCAAAAAAATGTCATAATAGTAATTGCCGAAAAAAAGATTGTTGACGAAATACAATGAATTGGACTTCTCAAAAAATGTTAACTCAAATGTGTNATTTACATAGAAATGAATTTAAAATACAAATTAACATTTTTATTAATATAAATTTTTTCAGTGTTATTTATAGATGAGGAATTTGCCCTAAGTATCTACACAATTTTGTACATAAGCCACTGAGTGTTTTCAAATTTTCTCATTTCAAAAACATTTTAAGTGACAACTTCAAAACATTTATTTTACCTCGGTTCACGTTAAATTTATATACTTGTAATTATAAACCCTGTGGCATAATTTTTTCAAGTTATCGACGACAAAAGCACGTATATCTAGCACTAATATCTTTCTGCAAGATACTTTTAATAATAACAAACATTTCTGGTTACTAATTTAAAATAACAGAAGTGCTGTGTTTACAAAAAAAAATTACATTTAATTTTTTTAATTAAGCATTTGATTATTTTTAATTTTAATATTATGGGTCAATTATGTTTTGCATTTTGTTAGGGGGGAAACGCACTCATTTTTCCTTCGCATTTTGGAAGTAATCATCACAATAATAATATTTAAAAAAAAGAAGAATTCAAAATTATTAACTCCATATGAAAAAAACATGTTTCTGAAAGAAAACTTTTACGACATTCAGCTAATCTTTTTGCAAAAAAATGTCATAGTAGTAATTGCCGAAAAAAAGATTGTTGACGAAATAACATGAATTGGACTTCTCAAAAAATGTTAACTCAAATGTGTGTTTCGAGATTAGATTGTTGTCATAAATAATATCGTATAAAAAGCACTAGATTTAAAAACTATGGAGAAATCAGCAGCAATAGCAGCCAAAAAATCGATAGAGTTTTGCTATATTACTGCCATAAAAAGTTAATACTCAAATGCACGATTCGAATTTTCCATATAGTTTGAAATATATTGGGATATTTAAAAATATATTTACTACATTATATTTGACTACATCAATGTATTAACTCATTTCTTTTTTTTACTTATAGTCCCAAACTGAAGAATTCAAGCAGCAACAGTTAGACAAGATGCAACCACATTCAAACGTTTTTAATAATTACTCTCAGCCGCAACAAACCAACCCTTCGTTGTCTCAGTCACTACCCGTGTCACAATCCCTCACTTACACAACACAGTTTTCTCCAACTATTACCAAACCACCCCCAGAGTACAAAGCCCATCACAGTTTAATATCCGGGCAGCACGTCGAACAGTCAAATAACTTACTGCAGCCTATGTATAACCAATCAAACAAAAATACCAAATTCGGTAAAGTGCAACGTCCCCCTAACGTTACCATATCGTCCGACGGCACAGCTCTCACCTCTGCAACCCATAATTGGAGGCCAAATATGAGGAGTTTACCCCAATCTATACCCGTGCAAAATAGATTCCGAACAAATTTGACAAATTTTAATAATTACAGTTTGCAGTCAACAGGTCCACCCCTATCTCCTCTGTATAATCAATATAGAGCTCCTGGAATCCAAATGCCTGTAACAGGTAATCAAATGCCTGTTACTGGAAATCAAATCTCGGCTGTTGGAAATCGGCCGCCAGGACCCAGAAATCAAATACCAGTGCCTAGAAATCAGATTCCGATGTCTGGAAATCAATTAGCCAATAACCGTCTTATAAGACCTGACAGTGTGCCCAACAATGCCATCTTGATGCGTCAAAGAATGAACATCTCTCAGTGTCAGCGGAGTCCCACGATGGCCTACTTAGATCAGCATTCTTCCATGAGTGTTACGAGCAATTCCATGTCCCCCAATCGAACACTTTCTCCCATGAGTCCCCTAGGATCGTATGTCGGACCTAAAGAAATGATCAGGAATGATGGAACGATTTCTCCACTTTGTCAAATGGGGCAGTATTCTGGACCTAAGGATGTAATGAGAAACGACGGAACTCCGACTAGTCCAATGGCAACGTACAGTGGACCAAAAGACATTGTTAACAGGAATAATAGTGGGCATATTAATTTAGATCTTTTTGATAATGTACCAGATTTATTTGATTTCTCTGACATTGTTTGAGAACAACCTTAAAAAAGTTTGTGCAATACTTATATTTTTTAAATATAAGTTTTGAATACTGAATAACACCTGTCCCGGGATGCTTATTTGATTACTTTAATTACTTGATTTTTTTTTTCTATCCATATATATGTTTCATTTCAGTGTCAATTTTCATTGCTGATTTTTTTAAATGTATAAAATTGAGTTTTAAATTTTTTTTTTGAAAAAAACTTAGATTAAGTTTTTTTTTTAAATATATTTATTAATATTTTTTAATATGTATACATATATATTTTTTTTGCAAGAACCATTTCATAGTATAAATTTGTAAATGATCAAAACATATTTTATCTCCAATTTTTATTTTATTTTTAATATTTAATTTAATATTTCTTCTACATGATTTATGTAAATTTGAACTTCAAGCTTAAAATTATTTGAATAATTTTTGGTTTAAATGATGAGGATGATTGAAATATGTATATTACGTTGAACGTATTTTAATTATTTGGAAATATTATTATTGGAATAAAATAAATTTTGCACCTTGAATCAAGTGGATAGGTTATGTTTTGTCAAACAGTCGGCTTTTTTTATTACAGCAAATTGCAATATTTGTATAATGGAACAAAATCACTGAAATTCCCGAGTTGTATATTGAGAGGGAAATTTGATATTTTCCTGATAAATCAGGGTTTTTAATTGATTTTCTTGAAGAATTCTTTATAATATCAAAAATTGTTTATATGTATTTTATATATAAAAATTCCTTTAAGAATTTTTTTTCTTAAAACAATAAGGTGATAATTTTGTTTTATATTTTCATTTTATTTGAGCAATTTATATTAATCCTTAAGAAGTATAGGTTCAAAACAACTAATTTATGCTTTTAATATAAACTGATGAGAAAGAATTATTTTTATGAAAAAACGAGTGATTATATGCATAAATAAATGCATTTTCGAATTTTTTTTTTTCCTTAATGAATAAGATTTAAGCATAGAGTTAAATCAACTTTCAAATATATTTTAAAATGTATAATTTTGCTGCTTTATTCATTTCCGTCATAAAGTGTATATAGTTTATCAATTTTGTTATTTTAAATGTTTGTATATTTTCTTTTTTTTGTGTGTGTGTGTTCTTTAATGAACTTTTTCTCCCATCCCTAAAAATATCACAACATTCCTCCTTTTTCTTTTGTATTGAACTGTTTAATGTCAATTTATTATGTTGATATAAAAAGTATCTCTTTCAGCATATTAAGCTGTTCCATATTAAATGATTTTTTTTTTATATACACAATTTTTAAAAAGGTCACTAACCCAATTGTTTGATACACAATTTTAAGAAAGATGCAAAAACATTTTTTTTTTATATATATTATATTTAAAAGGTCACAAACATACATTTTTTACATAAAATTTTAAAATGTAACTAAAACAAATTTTTGTTATAAACAGTTTTTGAAAACTTGTGACACCCGATTTATTTTATATTCAATTTTAAAAGGGTTCAAGCACAATTTTTTTTCTCAACACAAGAGCAAAATGTGCGGTTTTACAAAACACTTCTATCATTTAGTACTGGCCAGTTCTAAGGAAAATAAAAAGCTTGTTTATTACATGATCATAGTAGACATAAGGATTTATTCTTACCTAAAAATCTCTTAAAGTTCCTCAATATTTTAGACAAATAAAATAAATTTTTTTGAACCATCTTTCATTTAAATTTAGCTAAATTAATGATTGAAAACAGGGCTCCCAAGAGTCAGGGAGAACAGAGAAAACCTGGAATTGTCAGGGAATTTCAATTTAACTCCAAAAATCAGGAAAAATTGTAATTTTTTTCACAGAAACCTTGAATATTCGTATAACATACCTGTAAAATGACCAGTCTTAAAATTGTCGGTAACAGTAATCAGTTACTGAGATTCGAGTTATATAATTCTAACATCTATTACAATTATGTGTTGTAAAAATTTCACATTTTAGTTGAACTGAAATGTTCCCATGCCCATTTAATATAAAATATTGTCTCAATTTTCCTTGAAATTTAGCTGGTGTACTGTTCAATTTCTCCCCCCCCCCCAAAAAAAATAGTAGATGTCAGAAACACTCATGATTTTGTGTCAGACAGCTTCTTAATTGAAAAAGAGCATATTTTTTTCATTAAGATAAAATGTGTCTGGAAATTTTATTAAGTGCTGTACATGTCCATGCAACATTATAGATGAGGCCGAATCTCAATTTTTGGAATTCAAAGTTAGAAAAATATTTCTTTTCTTTCGACATGGATAAATTACTATTTTCATTTTGCAATCGCTAACTCTGGCAACAAGACTTTTCAAAACCCAATGTAGACAGCAATGTTGCATTAAATGTGGGACCTTTTTTTGATACTTAATTTGTCCTGATACTTAATTAACTAATAACCTTTAATTAACCTTTTCATGATATTAATCAAAATGGAAATACTTTACATTATATCATACTAAACCATTGCCTTTCTTCAACTTTATCTTTGAATTTAATAGGCATTTAAAAAGAACAGGGTTGTGTACCCTCCAAAAAATGAAACTCTGGTAGGTTTATTTGTTTTGTTTGAAAAAAATCCAATAAAACCCATATTTTTGTGGATAATATTTTTTTCAAAATTGATTAGGAAGGTTTACCAGCCTTTTTTCCCTTCTTATTACTACAGCTATTATAATTTCACATATTTTTTGAATATTTTTCTCAAATTATTCTGCAATTTTTAAGCTAATAATCGTGAATGCTTTCTAATAAGTTGTAGACCAAAACTTTTTAATATACTTTTTTTTTAAAAAACTTTTTAATAAAACTTTTTTTGAAATCTTCCCTATGTTGAAATGTATGAAATTTTGCAGAACAAAAAATGTTTTAATGTAGCAGAAATAAAGCACATTATACTCTTTATTTTAGACGATTTTTTATTTTTTTTTAAATCTTAATGATATTACGTATTTATTTTGTAATAAAATTCTATAATTAATGGTGTATCGGCTTAGTAATAATGAAATGAATGTCACATTTAGTTAATGCTTTAAGTGTCTATCAATTTTAACAAGCTTATTGGCTTTTCTGAGATCAAAACTGTTTCTCAATTTGGCTCAAACAAGTTCTAAGCTACTTTTCTAATTGCAAGTGTGACTGATGAGTAAATGTTAAAAGGCCATCTTTTTTTTATCTACTGATAATGGTTAAAACTAAATTAAAAAAATGAACGTTTACTGGGTAGGAAAGAGTATTGGGTGTTTTTCCAAAAGAATTGTCTTTGATGTAGTTACGTAATATCCCAGAGTTTAAATAAAATAAAATTAATTTATAAAAATTGTGCGAATTAAATTGAAGTTAAACATTTAATGTTATGTTTTTTAACTAGTTGAAAATGTTTATGAAACAATAAAAAAATATAATAAATCTGTACTAAATATTACAACTGTACAATACCAAAGTGGCAATTGATACAGATTTCCATTGATTATTTTTATTATTATAGCACTTTTTTCTCTGTACTTATAGATAAAAGCTCGATTTTTATTGAACCACTTTCTATGTTCTTCTTTATAAGTCAGGGGTTTCCAACATACATGAGGCTGGAGGCTGCATTAAAAACTCCAGTCAAATGGCGGCCGCAACTTCATCAAAATTTTATCTAGGACTCTTATGTTTGAAGAAACATTAAAAATTACTGTCAGATTTTTATCAAGTTGTGCAAAGCAAACGTATTGAATTACAAATTAAAATTTGACGTAGATTTTTAAGCAACATACACGATTATTTTTGTATTTGAATAAATATTTTCTTAGATGCAAAACCTGAGAAATAATTTTTTTTGCCTCTTTGGTTTGTTAAATTTCCCAGAAACGTAGAAATTAGGTTTTTTTTTTTTTTTTTTTAACGTAAGAAGAGTATTTTAAACACTCATATAGGTTTTTTACGAAAATTGTCCAAAAAAAATTACATCCAATATATTTTAGTTCGTGGGCCTCAGAAAATGGCTTGACGGGCCGCCAGTTGGAAACCACTGTTATAGTTCAAGCAAATATTGGTTTTAAGTAATTGTTATTATATTCATTTAAACAATATCTTTGTTTACATAATGAATGATACTTATTTGTCTAAATAATTTGCACGAGATCAAAGTTTTTTTTTTTACCTTTAACTCACCAGCATTCAAGCTGAGCAAATCTTTCCTACACTGACTAGTGTCCTGGTCATAAGTAGTTTTTAATTTTTGGTATTTTATTATACCCCTTTGTAATTATGATTTGAAATTTATTTTAATGTTTTTTTTGTGAGAGAGATATTTAGGTATTTAAAGCAAATTTATTACTTATTTTTCCGTTATCACAAGCTTATTTTTAACTTAAAACTATTAACTTACATTTCTGTTATCACAAACTTATTTTTCTGTTATCTTTGTCCATGTACGATTTGATAATTAAAAATCAACCATTAGTGAGAAAAATTAAATACCATTAAAGTTAACAAGTCTAATTTATTTTCGCATTATTAATTGTATTAAAAGGGTTTATTTTAACTGAAAAAAAAAATAATAACATAATGTACATAATCTTTGCTGTTCATGTAAATATAACCATTATAATGTTAGATTTTTAAAAGTTCATATGTATGTATATATTGCTTTCTAGATTTTTAGAACACTTTTTGAACTGCTGATGATTTTATAGATTTTATAACAATATTATATGACAGCTGTACTTTGAAGTTTTATGAAGAAAAAAAAAATTATATGATGGCACACTCGTGCAATATAAGCCCTTTACTGGAGATATATTTGAGACTGCCTTGTATATGATTATAATGTAATAAAATAATTTCTAAAAATTGCTTCCTTTTATTTAAGATCCAAAAGTTTCAAATTCGTGACTCATAATTTTTTATTTTAGCAAATACAATATAATGGGGGAGTCAAAATAAATGTATATGATGAATGTAATACAGTCAAGTGAACTCCCGGATATAGTGAACGAAATGTTCGCTCCCGTGCCTTACTATACATATATATTATTTTTTGTGGATATAGTGAACCCAAAAGAAAGGAAAGTGGGTATTATAACTTTCTTCGACTGATTTTTTCTTCATTTTTTGGTAATTTTGAAATTTTTACATAAAACATACATTCCGATTTTTAAAACCTTCTATTGAGTGGATTATGGCCATAAGTATTCTTTCTTGTTTGCATCTTCTATCTCAGTTTTCCATCCCTAAATTTTTTGTGCGCTAGACGAAGAGTAATAAAAATAAAAGTTAACTCATATTTTGTTACTATGTATTGATTTTTAATCATTTTTGTATTTCTTTGACATTTATTTAATGTGTAATAAAAGGGAACAGTTCGGAAAAATTAGTTAAAATTGTTTGCAGTACGGTTATTCAACCTAAATTTCGGTCCCTTGAAGGTTGACTATAGCGGGGTTTGACTGTATATGAACAAGTTATAAATGTACTCCCCTCAAAATTTCGTTATTTTTGTTATACAGCAGGCATACAGAGTCCAAAATGTAATTCTTGCCGAACTTAGTGCAACACAGCTGTGATACATGCTTTCAAAACACTTCATGGTCATTGAGCCCGAAGGCACGTGATCTTTTACGACCTCCTATATGGGGATCCTGGTGGCCAAGTAAAAGAGTGCATTGTTAGCCTTCTAACTGTTTTTGCAGATGACTCGATGAGTTTTATAGCCTAAATGTAGGTTTCCATCTATTTATCTGTGCTACACTCTTTGTAAATAGACTGGGTGGTTCAAGGTTACGCGATTTCCCTACTCTCTTCTCCGTTACCATGATTTCGCCAAATTTTGCTCTTTTTTTCCCCCACGCCAGTATATTGAACAGTTGGGAAAAGGCGAGATTGGGCTAATCCGTAGCAACTTAGTGGAAAATTTGTCCAACACTTCCCGATATATTTCTTAAAATTTTGCACAAAAACAAAATTTATATAATAAATTTTAGATTTATCAGGCATGCGATTCTTCTGCTAATTCGCGGAACTCTGAGAATCTCAAGACCGTTGATTCGCGGATTTCCGTGAATCAATAATTTAAATTTCGTAACTTAGGTTAAAACTCGTTATCGAGACATTTATTTCGCTCGTACCAGCACTTTTTTTTCCTCCGAAGTATTATTTAATCAATGTGATATCTATGCCCCCTTTTTTAATTTGGCTACTATTAGATAGAATTAATTTTTAATGTCATTTTACGACAAGGAAATTGTAAATCGCGTATTTCAGTAATCACTTTTCAACGCGCTCTATATCATCTTAAATCCTTGTTTCAGGGATGAGAGTAGTCAGAAAGTAAAAAAGAGGAAATCCAAGAATGTAGATATACTCGTATATATAATTTGTCGAAGCTATGATATCCAAAAAAAAGTGCGACTTTTAAATTATGTGACTATAAAATACGATGATTAATTGTATGAATCACCTGCATAATTTTAAAATCGTATGAATAAGTATTGCAATATTTGATTTTAAGTTGAGAGAATATGAAACCAGATATGTGGCTTTTAAATCGTGTGAATATGAAACTCTATATTGGATTTCGAAAATACAAATAGTGATGCGTAATTTTTAAATCGCGTAAATGCGAATCACGATGCATAATTTTTAAATCGCGTGAATTCAAATCCCTATGTCTAATTTTTAGATCGCGTATAAATACGAAAATCGATGTTTGATATTACAACCGTATGAAGGAATCACGACATTGGATTTTAAACTCTTGTGAATACAATACTATTCGCTAAATAGGGTTTTAAAAACACTTAAATACATATCGCGATATTTGATTTTTAAATCTAGTAAATAAGAATCGCTATCTAAGAAATTTAAATCGCAACTTTTAAATTAGGTAAATACGAAAATCGCTGTTTGATAATAAAATCGAGAATTTAAAAATGCATTACAATTGGATTTTTAAATAAATAATCGCAATGTACGATACTAAAATCGCGTGAATAAGAATCGAGATATTAGCAGATTCTGGGTTTGGGATTTCTAAAAGGCTTGTTTGTATTGTTTAGTCATAATAAATAAAAATTTACAAGATTAATTGAATGAGCAAATAAATATTTCCACTATTTTTTTTGATCCGTTGGCTTTCATGCCAGCCAACAGGAGCAGCGGGTAAAATTTTCTGAGCGTGAAAGCAGAGAAAATAGTTAAAATAAGTAAAAAGGCCGAAGGGTTGGCAACTACGTAGTTTGAATTTTCTCTTTATCTGAGAAAACCGGAAATAAATAATTATTTTATTTCAACGACTGAATTTTCAGAAAAAGCGGGATATCGTGAGACAAACGCGAAAAAATCGCATCCTTGCTATTTCAATTTTTTGTTTTGTTTTTTGCCAGCTATTATTGTATGACATAGTTCATTGTCTATTCAAATTTCGCGACTGGCGGCACATACCTCCCAGAAAAGAGAAGGCCTCAGCAGGGGTTACCATAAACAAGAAATTTGATCCTTTAGTAGTCCAAACCTAATGACATCTTTCTTACGTTTCACCCATTGCGCAGTTTATGTTCGTTAAGTCGGACTATTAAATTGATCATTGCTAAGGCCTTCTTTCTTCTAGGTGTTGGTCAGTAGCGCCACTACGGACATGCAAATCAGGATTGCTTTTAAAACGCGTTCTACAGTGGACCCAATTTTGGGCCTTTGACTACGTGAATTTTGAACCCGATGAAACTAAACTACGTTTGCATTACACAGAGAAGAAAACCTCCCACGGTTAGCCTGATGGCAAGGGGATTCTAACCTATGATCCGCCTAAAACTGAGGATATCTTCCACCAGCTTTGTGGTCAGTGCGGAATTCATATAGACCAACCATCGCTGAGAATCGGTTCACCTCACTCTTTGTAAATAGACT